TAATAATAATTATAAAATCTTACTATATTAAACACTATTACTATATTAACTATATAAAGTACTAGTTTATTATTATTAAAATATATTAATTAATAAGATCTTATAGTTAAACTTATTATTATTATATAGTATAAACTTAAAATAACTAAGGCCTTTAGAGTATAATTAGTAGTAGTAGTAGTACTTATTAATAGCTTTAATTAATAAAAAAGAGGTTTTTCTTTAGTCTGTTTAAGTAACTTATAAAGGCACTAAATAAATAAGTAGCTAAATTACTAGTAGATTTAGTGTAATTTACTATCTATTAGGTATTACCTAGTAATACTTTTCTCTAGTAGTTATAGAAGTATCTATAAGTAACTAAATTAATAAATAATAAGTATAATATTATTACCTTAGATTAGCTAGTTAATAAGGTTATTAAATTTTATACTATAATAGTCTATATCCTTTAAGTAATAAGGAAATAAAGTATTAGTAGTTATTATATAAAAAACAAGGTTACTAAGTAGTATAAGTATATTAATTACCTCTAGAGATTTAAAGTAATTACTACTACTAAAGTAAATATTTACTTTATTTACTTAAGTAGTATTTATAGATATTTTTTTACTTAAGTAATACTAAAGGGTAAAGTATTACTTATAGCTAGTAGTTAATTTCTTAGCTACACTAGTATTAAGTATAATACTATAAAGAGTTACTACTAAATAGTACTTATTAAGTATAAATATCTTATTAGTTTTTATAGTCTTACTAAGTAATAGCTTCTTTAGTAGGTTTTATAGGTAAATATATAGGTAGTTACCTAGTTATATAACTTAAAGAATATAGTTAGGCTATTAATTAATAGTTATATAAAGAAAGTAATAAATATAAAAATACTATATCTTTATAGTTATTATTATTATTAATAGGTTATTTTTATTATTATTTACTTCTTAAAATAACTTAAATTATAACCTTTATAATTAAAAAAAAGTAGTTAAAGATAGCTAATAAAGCTTATATAAAGTAAGTGCTTTTATACTAGTTAAATAAGGATTACTACTCTTCTCTAGTGTACTTAGTTAACTAATAACTAGGCTTACTATAAATAAAGTACTTCTTACTTAATTTATTACTATACTAGTTATTACTATAGTAGTTACTTTATAAAGAACCTTATATTTACTATAGATTAATATAATTATTATAGTTACTATTATACTTATAGTTAACCTAAAACTACTTATCTTCTATAGTTAATTCTTTTATAAGGTATTATATAAATAGCTTATAATAAAGTAAAGTATTTACTACTTTATTATATAGTTATATATAAAGGCTATAGAATATAGCTAGTAAGTTAAGAAAGGCTATAGTATACTTAAGTATACTATAGTAATAAGTAATAAAGTACTTATAATAATCCTTATCCTTAGGTAAACTATTATAAGTAGTTACTTTAACTAGCTTAATAACCTTTTTAATAAGTAACTTAAGAATCTTAAGCTTATTTTTACTATAGTTTTTATAAGTAATTAAGTTAAATAATATATAGTAAAGCTTAGTAATATAGGCTAAGTGTACTTTATTACCTTTAAATTATTCTTTAAGCTTTACTATTAAAGTATTAAAATTACTTACCTATTAGTAAAAAGTAAAAGTATAATACTCTTATAGTTTACCTTAGAGTATTACTTAAATTACTACTTTATAGTAGTCTTATATTATACTTACCTAAATATAAAGGTTATAGAATAATAGTAATTTTAAGTTAATAGTCTTATACTAGCTACTAGTATACTTTATAGCTTAGTTATTAAAGTATATCTTTATAAGGTTACTTATTTACTTTAGTATTAACTTTAATATTACTATTAATATTACTATAGTTAATAAAAGCTCCTATAGTAGTACTATAGTTATTATATATAGGCTATTAATTTTAGCTATTATATAGGGTTTTAGTGTTAATATAGGTAGTAGTAAGGTAAATATTAGGTTATTATAAAAGGTTTAGTAGCTAGTTACTAATAATAGGTATACTTTAACTATTTTTACTTTATATATAATTATCTTATAGCCTTTAATATCTTTAATAAAGTTAAGGTCTTTAAGATATTCTCTAAAGTTATATAATAATCTCTTAATAATAGTAATTATCTTATTAGTCTATTAAGTACCTTCCTTTTATTAAAAGGTATTAAATATATATTAAGTAATTAATAAGTATTTACTATAGTTAACTTATACTCTATAGTTAACAAGGAAGTTATATAGACCTATTAAGACCTTTAGGTTAATAGCCTTAAAGTTACTTATAAGCTAGTTAGTAAGGTCTTCTTATATATAGTAAAGTAATTTACTACTAAAGTAGTTATTATACTTAAATTTACTAAAGTAAAATATAATAATAGTATTAAGTATAAAAGACTATTACTTCTTTATAAGGTTAATTAGTAACCTTATAATATAATTTTTTTTTATTAGTATAAAAGAATATACTATATAAAGGTAAAAAGTATAGTAATAATATTATTTATTACTACTATTTTCTTTATTATATTAAGTAGTATATTATATTTACTATAAATCTTTTTTTCTTATTACCTTATAAGTAAAATTATAGTAACTTATAAGCTTTACTTACTTATAAGCTTATCTTGTTTACTTATTTTAGCTTAAGTCTTTTATTTATAGGCGTAGTATTATTTACTATTATCCTTTATTAGCCTAATAACCTCTTAAATATAGGTATTTCTTTTAGTAGACTAAAAGGTATATACGTTTATTAGAGAGATTACTACTAGTAGTATAAATAACTAAGGAAAAATATACTCTTATAGGTAAATAACTTAAAGAAAAACAATAGGCTATTATATTAGCTACTTATTAATACTATTAGTTAGTAAAAAGAGAGAAAATAATAAGCTATAATATTAGTAACTTATTAATACTATTAGTTAGTAAAAGGAGGATATATATAAGAAAAAGAAGTTAGTAAGCTAAAAAGCTTATAATAAATAGGATATAGTAAATAATTACTAGTTAGCTATAGGTATATAAAGTAAGGGGTTTTTTATAGTTAAAAGTACTTCTCTAAAGGTAATAAAGCTTATATAATAGACGTAAATTAATAAGATTTTTACTAGTTAAGAAGACTAGTTATAGATCTATTAATTAACCTATTATAATAGATAATTAGTATAATATTATAGTAAAAGTATTTATAAAGGTATTTTTTAGTCTTTGCTTACTCTAGGTATATAAATAATTAACTAGTAATAATTACCTCTTCTTATAGTCCTTACTAATCTATAGTTTAGATAGTAAAGTTAACCTATATAGTTAATAGTAAAGTTAACTACTACTTAGTGTTAGTAATACTAAAGAATAAGTTAATATAGTTAACTATATATATTAGTAGTAATTAATAAATAATTAAGGTAACTATAGTTCTTTATTATATATAAAGAAAAAAAGGATAATTATTATAGGTTAGTTAGTTAAATAACTAACTTATTACCTATAAATCCTTAGAGAATCTATAGCTAAATATCTAAGGATTTACTAGCAATAAGTTATTAGGGTTAACCTAATAACTCTAATCTTTATCTACAATAGTTAATATTATAATAGTTAACCTTTAAGTCTTAGCTACTTAGCCTAAGGTTACTACTTTAATAACCTAGGGTAGCTAAGCTAATAAATACTACTATAATATTAATAATAATAATATAACCTAGGTACTACTAAAGGCTAAATAATCTTAATAAAACTTTAAAAATAATAAGTAATAAAGTTATTATATAAGAAGAAAAGTAATTTTTATACTTTATATTTATATATACTATTATAAAATATATATTTTTTTAGTAAAAAAGAATAAAGTTCTTTAAAAGAGAGGCACTTATTATAAGATAAGTGCCTTATATAGTAAATAAATAAGTAAAATATAGGATTACCTTATTAGTATATATCTAAGTATATACCTAGAGATATATATCCTATTACTTATTACCTTCTATAAGGAAAAGTAACTTTAATAAATAACCTACACTTATACTTAGCTTTTGTCCTATATTATTTATTTAGCTCCTTGTTATTACTTGCCTTGTTTTACTACTCTACTATTATACTTTACCTTTATACTATATTACTTTATATTACCTATTATAGCCTTACTTCTCCTATTAGATCTATAATAGCTAGTAAAAAGGCTATATTAAATATACTACTAGTTATTACTATACTTTTATTTATTTAGTAAAATTTACTTTTTTTATAATTACTTTATTAATTTATATTTTTATTTTAAGATTTTTATAGATTAGGTCTAAGAATTATAAGACCTATCTATTAATTTATATATTATTATTATTAGATATTGTTATAGTATAAGTAGTTTTCCTATGTTTTACTATTCTTCTTTTCCTTTATTAGGTAGTAGATGCCTTGCCTTTTCTTAATATCTATATATTAATTCTTAAAATAATATAGTTTACTTACTATAATTATTTACTTACTATATATATATATTAGGTCTTTTTTATTTAACTATATTAATATAATAATTAAATATAAATTATAAGTAATATTTAAAATAATTAGTTATAATAATTATACAAAAAGAAGAAATATAAAATAAGATATATATAAACCCTATTTTAATACTATAAAAGAGTAAATAGTAAAAGATCTATATTATCTAAGGACCTAGAGAGTATATCTATTAAATTAATCTTTAGCCTTATATTAAACTCTCCTTAACCTTAACCTTATATATTTTCCTATTAGAGTATAGCTAATATTAGACTATTATTAGTTTTACTAATTGAGCCTTTACTGTAATAGGCCACTTACTATACATGTACCTTAGGTCATTTCTGACTTTTAGACTAGTGTTCCCTGTAGGTTACTGTACCTAGGAATCCGGGGGTTCTGAGCCACTTTCGGCCAGCCCGCTGTGGGGTGGACGCTTGGAGAGCCTATTGTAGCCCTGCCTTGCTTGCACGCGCATGATTCCCTTGTCTAAATCAGAAGGCTCTGCCGATTAGAGCAAGAAGTATACCTAGCTTCTGTGTCCGGCCGCGCAAGGTCGTTTCTGTTAATTATTCCTTTGGATCTAGTCCGCTCTTTCTTTGGTCCAAGTAGCCTCCTGTCATCTGTTGCATGTTTCTTCTTTATAGTCCGCTTTCGTTCCACAATGCGCCTCAGTCTTTTCCCCCTCGCCCTCTTCGCGTCCTCGGCGCTGTGCCAGGACGCGGCGCACCAGTGGCAGGCTCCGGTCAGCGGTGATCGTGAGTCTCTCTGCAACAAGTCCCCAATCCCCGCGCGCAGCGCCAACTGACAAAACAAAACGCACGTAGGCCGATCACCGTGCCCCCTCCTTAACAGTCTCGCCAACCACGGCTACCTTCCCCGTAACGGCATGGATATCTCGGTGGACGCGCTTATTGACGGCATGCACGCCGGGCTCAACCTCCGCGAGGACGCGAAGCTCTTCTTCCGCCTACAGGGTAACAAAGCCGTCAGCGCCTCATCGACTGGCAACAAGGAGACCTTCCACCTAAACGATCTAAACAAACACGATCTCATCGAGCACGACGCATCGCTTAGCCGGGCCGACATCTTCTTCGGCGACAACTGGTCCTTCAATCAGACCATCTTTGACGAGACCAAGTCGCACTGGCCATCGGAGACCATCTCCATTATGGACGCCGCCACGGCGCTGGTGGCGCGGCAGAAGAGTGCTGAGGCAGTTAACCCCGAGTTCAACCTGCCGCTTGACGGATACACGAATTCGCTTGGTCAGACCGCCATGTACCTAGGCTTGTTCGGCAACTACGACAACGGAAACGCTAACAGGACTTGGGTAGAGTACTTTTTTGGTGAGTGCTCTGCCTTATCGGCTTCACCAGCCTGTACGTGGCCCTGAGAGTATTGTCGCTAACTTGGAGTTCTCACAGAGAATGAGAGGCTCCCCTACGAGCTTGGTTGGAAGAGACGCTCTGATGACGACAAGATCCCAGCCACAGGCATCTTGGCCCTGACGACTCAGGTTGCAGTAAACTACTTGGCAGTCAAGATTGGCCTGTAGATAGTAATATACTTTATTTAATGAATAAACGTAATAACTTCATAGGAAAGGTCTAGGGTTTATAGCCTTGTATTGTATATGTATAGAGTTTACCAACAGCGGCTTTTACTCCTGCCTTTGAGTGTCAGATTGGCAGTCAACCCACGATGGCCGCAGGGGCCTTTGATGTCAGGAGACAATAGTACGTATATTGCGGCAGTCGAAGCTGCAGAGTCGCCCTTGTTGTCTCATCCAGTGGGCTCTCAATCGGGCGGTGACAACGACAAGATCTCGTCATGCCGGGATGCAGTATGGACTAGTGTTGATCTGGTTAGCAGAGGTCATATCAGGGGGGGGGGGGGGGGGGGGGGAATAGCAGAAGAATCAGACGGATCCTCAAAACAACTTGGCTACTACATAGACCTTGTCCCTGGAGATCTCTATATCCTGTCTCGCACATGCGCCCTTACTATTAGTGGGCTGCGTTGTAAGCTTTATAAGCCTTATCACCAGCTTAAAGCACGAAAACTTGAGCGTCAGCATTAACGTGAAAAGCATGGGCGTAGAGATGACGCTAGCCTCTCTGATCTTGAGCGCCAGGATAAAGATTGCGTTCAAGGCCTAGGCAGAGGTGAGGCGTATACTAAGAAGGTATCCTCTGCGCAGTGTGCTGTTGCAAGTGACTGCCACGTATGTAGAGGCTGCGAACTGGCAGATGAGGCAGCATGTAGAGTTTGGGCGACTAACAACACAGAGTAGAAGAGGCAGATTGTCGATATCATGGGGGCATGTACATGCTTGTGTCCAGGGAAGCCAGCTACCGCCAATAAAGACCCCCCTGCGGCTTCCGTGAGGGTGCACTGCAATCTAGAGACAGTACAGCACCAATGCTTCCCTTGAATCAAGTTCTGGTCCCCACGGAGAGTGTTGCACAGGTATATTGAAACAGGTCAAAGGGACAACGAATAGCAGATAGTTCCTGACCCTGAGATCACTGTTCCGTAGACTATATGGCTGCTTCCAGTCAATATCTCTTTACTAGTGAATGGATTATAGGACGAGGGACACAGAGAACGGTGGAAAAATCAAACAATACTTCAATATACGAACGATTACATCCTTTGACTCGTCTAATGCCAACACTTCACTTCGTTAAACCTAGTCCACCTACAACTATACTAAAGGCTCCCTCTTCCCCAACCTACCATATGTTATGGAGCTATACCTAGAGAATTTGTTTCTTTTCTCAAAGTATCTCTTTTTCAATTTTATTAATTTTAATAAACTAGCTACCCTAGAGCTATAGAAACTAGCAGTAGAATATAGTATACTTCTAGGGGGTATAAAGATAAGGCTATTAATCTACCTAATACTTTTTTATAGTAGTGTATTACCTTATATATAAAAGTACACTAGAAGCAGGTTACTTAACTTCTTATTAGTAGCTAATTTATAGGCATTATATATTATTTAGTAGCTAGCTAGTACTATTATTACACAAGGTAATATAAGGCATTAATTACTGCCTATAATTAACAGCGTCGTTTTTTATAACAGTTATGAGCCTAGTTCGCTCTATATTATGCCTTTACGGTATAAATGCAGAGTTAGTGTCTGAGCATTATAGATCCTAGGGGTTTAATTCCCCTTGTAGACACCATGGGGCCGATTGACCTTATTAAGCTTAGTCAGCTGAGCGTTCTTCTATTACAGCGATTAATTGAAGACCCCTGATTAGGACTTAATAGATCACGGAGGGGGGTCATGGTAGCTTCCCTGCTAGCCAAGAAGCAGATTATATAACACAGAAGTGTCTCTGCAATCTGGGGGGGTGTGTTACACAAGGTAATATAAGGCGTTAATTACTGCCTATAATTAACGGCGTTGTTTTTTACAATAACTATATATAAGTATCTATAGTAAATAATATTAACTAGTCTAATAAATATATATATATAAGCTAATTAGGGTCCTGAAGTAGTAAATATACAGCGGAGTATCTGTATATAGTATAAAATCTTAATAAATTAACCTAATCTATAGACCTTACCAAGAGAAATCTTAGTAAAACTACCTAAGCCTAGCGTTCTTACACATGCTAAATATAAGTTCCTCTAGGGATAACATTATGCTTGTCTATTACTCCCCTAAGCCCACTCTCTTACTTACCCCTATGCTTCAGCGCAATTGTCCAGAATGTGGCACTCTTTAAATAGCCCCACCTTTCTCATCACGGCTTTGTTCTATGCTCTAGTAGCTGCTGGACGTAAACCAGTACGAGATGCCAAGACCTTAGGTCTCACAATTAAACAACAAGGCGGAAACCATTTCGATGTTTCTGGCCCCGGAAAATTCCGCGCCTACGTCGAGATTGACAAGTTTTTGGATCAAATCGATGTTATATACATTGGTAACGCAGGGAGAGCGATTAAAGCCCGTGAGGTTTTATTAAGCGTTTGGAAAGAGAGCTCGGGGACCAGCGCATCCAAATTGAGGCGTATCATGTACGATGTAATCCAGAATGATGAAACTGTGTCGGTTCTGGACAGCATTTGGAAAGCCCGCGAAATAGACGACGGCAAACACGATTCTGACGACGACTACGGAGACAGCTATAATTACGGATCACACGACGAAGGAGAAACGGACGGCGTCATCGAGCCAACAATAACCGTTACAAGACCACCTCCAGGCGAGGAAGATTGGCGGTTTAGCGATTTGCGAGACAAGACTCCTTTTGGAATTGGCGCAGCGAAAATGTGTCTTGAGTATACCGAGATGGAGAATCATTTTATAAAATCCTTCACATTTGGGAGGAACAAAGAGGATGGAAAATGGCTAGTCATTAACTTTGGGGTAAACAAGTAGTAGATAGGAAAAGGAGAAAAGTCGCAACCCTGATTCGCCTAAGAGTTTGACAAACATAAATCTCTGTCATTCCGATGCCTGCCACCTATATTCAAAGCACACGAAACAGCATTAGATCAGGTCCGGCTGATGAATCCTCTAAAGCTATTAAAAATAGGCTGCGCATAGTGATGGGACCTTTACATTATTGTAAAATACACAGCATACATGATTCGCGACTCTTACATAACATATGACTTTAACTAAATCTATATAAACCTACTTATAGACAGGGGTTATTAGTCAAGTGTACTCTAAGGTCGTCATTGTACGGGATGGCCGTCATTAAACTTATTTTCTAGTTAATTAATCCACTTAATTTAATGAAACCTTGATTAAAGAAAGAAAAGCGTATTATGCTAATTTAGTTTTGTATAACATGGAGTGTTTACTCAATCAATAGTTTACCAATGAAAGGCTTAAGCACAGACACAATAGGGAATTTATATAAAGGACACTCAAAACAATTCATTGATTTCTAAAATACGACTTCAGTAGTGAACACTGCTTCTTACTCTGTCCTAATGGCGTCTTTATTCCATTTTACTATTCTTTTATTCCACCTGCTAGGTGTCTTTGCCAACACACTACAGCAAGGTGGATACAGAGTTAAGCTTGAAGAAAATGTTTACAAAGTGTTCTCAGAACACTTCTACGACAATCAGTCACCTCTTACCGTCGTACAATTCGATGAATCTGAAACCTCAATAAGCGTCCTGGAAGCATATAATCAGTTTGAACCAGCACACAAGGGCAAGCTAACCCTACTTGATATCTTGAGAGAGCTCTGTAACTTTGCAGGAGTGAATCCTCATAAATTAGAAGCGGCCACATTCAAGATGAGGGAAACACAGATACGCAAGGCCTTTCAGGATTACATAAAAGAACACCCTTTGAAGCGGGGTGTAAGCAGCATTACGATTACAAAACATAACAGCGCCTGGAACGATTTCAAAAGCACTCCCTACGTACAGACTGTACAAAGCCTAGTTGGGAACAAGGAGATAGACAAGATTTACATTCAAGCACCAAAAGCGACAATACCTGTACCGATGGTATTTATATACATGGCCGATAGTAAGTCAATCTTAGAGATGCCAGTCAAGCTGGAAACAAGCTCAACCAAGAAGTTCAACCTAGGTGAATTGCCCAACACCTTTGTTCCAAGCCTTCCCAGCCCAGACAGTTTTACGACTTCTGTTAGGTTACAGTTATTAGGCATAATGAAAAGCAAGAGCCTTCTCAACAGCCTCTTTTAATAAATATATATTGTGATGGGGACAGCAGACATGGTTTTAGATCGTCACGTGACTTAGCAGCCTCGTTCATATAGAGGTTGGCTGGCAGCGGCCATAGACCAAAAGAGGGAACATTATTATTATTAGTATCACTAATACACACAGTCACCACCGTGTATATGTCTATTTGTTCTTTTAAAAATCATACCTTTGACTACAACTATGTTATTATTTGCCTAATTCTACTTTTCTTTCTAGATTAGGTCTAAGAATTAATAGGCCTGTCTTATAATATATATTTTCTTATAATTTAACATTGTTCTATAGGGGTGTGTTATATATGTATTTAGTTTATCTTTTTCTTTCTCTGATTGTGGTCTACAGCCTTGCCCTTTCTTAATATAAACACCTTAGGGATCTTTACTATATTACTACTAGTAGTAAGAATTATATACTAGGTACTATTAACCTTAGCTATACTATTAGTAGAAACATTACTATTAGATTACTAACTGTAATATAACTCTATTTAAGCAGTCTGGTTTACTAAGTCTACTAGTCTTTAGCCTATTCCTGTTCTTTATAGATTAAGTCTAGATCCTGTATATTGAACCCTATTAGCTAGAAGTCTTGTATTCCTACCCAACCCTATAGTCTACTGCAATTTGGCTATCCTTGGGTAGCCTATTGCCCCCTAGTGCCAAGTTTAATCTAATAATTATCTTTAGGTGGATTGTCACGAAGGGATGTCGTGCCCTCTGCTATAGATAGAATTGTATTAATACTCTGTTAATTAAACATGAAGCAGAAATTATAATGGGCATTAGGAATGTCGCGTTTGCCCGCTGGGTCGAAATGTTCCTCGACTCAGGCATCGAATCGTTTCTCAACCTCCTCCGTATCCGCGCCAGATAGTGCCAGGTACTCTATGACCTCGCTATAATATCGATTCCAAAGCTCCTGGAGAGGCAGAGGGCCTTTGGGCTCTTATCTTGGCATACAAGCGAGATCACCGTAAACCCAGGCTTTGGCGTACATGTTAAGCCGCCCAATGGCCTTCATAAACGCCTCGTCGGATCCGTAAGAGGTGCGAAAGACTGTGAACTCTCAACAATAGGGGTAATTATGACATCCATCATAGTTGGCAAGTTGAAGTAGATAGCGCCTAAAGGCCCGATTCGTCTCTGGATTTCTTGCGAAACGGGGCTTTGGGTTGGTTAGTACCATATCGATGGGCTGGAAACTCGCCATCGTTGGTTTCTCGTTTGCGAAATCTGTTGTGAGGAGGGAAAAGCCTGTGTGTAAGAGGAGCGGAATCAGGTCAGGGGAGCTATCCCACACATGCTGCCCACGGTCGGCGTCGCTTCAATTGGGGGAGTGCAACCAATCTACCATGCGACGTAAGGAATTGAACCTGTGCCGTCTAGGGAGATTAGATGCACCATTGTGTCACGAGCAGGTCAAGGCAACCAACTCTGGCACAAAGCAAAAGCCTCGGTAAGTCAAAGCACCCGCTTTCCGATCACCCCCACTTGGCGATCACCGATTTCCCACCAAAATACACTAAAATACACCAAAACTACTCCTTTTTACTATAGCTATAACAGTACAACCCTAGCTTCTATAATTCTATAAAAATTATTATAGTTAGTTAAATACTTACTTTTACTATACTAGGTTTTTTACTTTATTTTAGCTAGTATAGTTTAAGATATAGTACTTTATATAAAAAAGTACTAAAATACTAGTAAATTATAATTAGCTATAACTTAGTATTTACTATTAGTATAAGCTTTAAACTTTATAAATAGCTTTTCTATATAGTATATTAAGTAATTATATTTTTTATATAATATATGTATCTTTATATAAGCTTATATATTAAAATTAAAATTTTTCTTATAAAGTTTTCTTAGTAAAACTTATATTTAAGTATATACTATAGTATAACTTAAATAATCTACTATATAAGCTAGCTATTATATACTTTATACTATAAAGTAACTATATAAAATATTATAGGTTTTTTTACTTTATAGTTCTAAAGTTATATAGATTTTTATACTGTTAAAGAATACTAGTAAAATATACTAAAACCTTAACACTTTTACTACTTTAGCTTTAAGTAACTAATACTCTACCTATACTTAGTAAAAAAATTATATAACTAGTATATAGACTTTATATATAATTCTCTATATATACTAATTTTCCTAGATCTATTAAGACTTGTCTTATATAGTTAAAGCTATAGTGAAAAAGAGCAGTTTTGGTGTAAATAGGTGATTGCAAAGTGGGGGTGATCGGAAAGCGGGTGCTTTGACTTAATGATGCACCTGCATCATAATCCCCTGTTCTGCACTATAGTTACGCCGGCCAGCACCCCAACTGGTTGGGCCGTAGCATTTAGCAACGGCCACGGTATTGATTGAGAATATCGCCACGACGTTCAATATCCCCATCTCCTAGATGTCTACTGCCCCGGTTGGGAACTAAGACATCTAGACCATGTGTTGATCTATTTGTAGGAGGGTGAGGAAGTCTCGGCGCTTTAGGTGCACTAGTAAAGACACAAGAATATTGGTATGGTATAGTTGTTTGTGTGCCGACTGTCCTACTAACTATCCTCCCTGTCTTCCTACTCAGTTTTAGTACATTCTGCACCATCCTCTCCCTGGGGATTGTTGATTGCCAAGTTTTATCCCTTTCTTTCCATTATTTTAGCCCGTGTCTGTCATCGCTACTTTTACGCACAAGTAGGCTCTTTAGGACTGCAAATGCATTAGTGTATAAGAACTTAGCCTGGAAACACCACTCAACACTCAGTAGAGAGCCGACTGTGCGATTGCTGACCAAAATACTTACCTAACTTTAGTGTGCTCTTTTAGTCTGCCGATAGAGTGGGAGATTAGAGCGTGCGCACGTAAGCCACCATACGGTCAACCTCCTCCTCAGCCAGTCCCTCGGATTGGTAGACTTGATCAGTGCCTAATTTCCACCCTCTGTTATTACTCTTTGCAGTATATTTGCCTGTCGAGAGGGCACTATTAACAACGCGCTTAATCTTGCTCTCTTTAACTTTGATATAACGTTCAGCTTGCGATATATGAGTCCCGTCGTGATAAAATGCTGCAATTAGTACGTTGACTGAGCTATCAATAAATGGAAGGATTCTGCTAAAGACATTGGTAGTGAGGAGGGTAACTATAAGTAGGATTGCTTTAGGAAGAATTATAGTAGATAGAGAAGGGTATTTAGAAAATATATAACGTAGGAGGATAATAGAGTAATAAAGGGTTTAAGAGTTGGTAATATTAAGTGTAAAAGGTTATAATAATAAGATAGAAAAAGTCAAAGGTAGATAAATATATATAATTCTAGAGATTACTCTAGATACTTATCCTTTATAAAAATCTTACTTAGTATATATAGTATTAATATAATTAAAGTTACTTATATTTTATATAAGTTTTTATTTATAATATATATATATACTAGCGTTACTGTTAAGGTTATTACTAACGTTCTAGCGCCTAAATATCCTTTTAGGATTATTATTAGTAACACTAAGAGATAGGTTAATATAGTTAACTATATATATTAGTAGTAATTAACAAATAATAGAGGTAACTATAGTTCTCTATTATATATAAAGAAAAAAAGGATAATTATTATAGGTTAGTTAGTTAAATAACTAACTTATTATCTATAAATCCTTAGAGAATCTATAGCTAAATATCTAAGGATTTACTAGTAATAAGTTATTAGGGTTAACCTAATAACTCTAATATTTATCTATAATAGTTAATATTATAACACTAGTAACTTTCTATAGTGCTAAAAATCCTCTATTATTTATATCTAAAAGAATAGCTAAAAAATATAATAAAAACAAGAAGCTAAAAAGTATTTAATACTTTTTTATTTATATAGTCTATTATATATAAGAAACCTATCTATTTATCTATATCTCTAACTACCTATTACTAACTAGCTTCTTTAATATTTTATTTAGTAATAACTTTATAAATCTATCTACTAAGTTATTACTACTATAAATCTACTATATCTTAAAAATCTTATAGTGTTTATATAACTAGTAAAAGGCTATAATATCTATTATAAGTTACTTCTTCTTTATAGTACTAAGCTTTATAAGGCACTTATAAAGTAAGTATAAGTTAGTATAAAGTATTATAGGTATTTATAGTAGCTTAAGGTAGTTAGTAATTATTATAAGAGTAGTACTAATTATATAAGTAATATTAGCGCTAGTAACTATCCTATAGACCTTAAGGTAAGTATACTATATATAACTCTTTTATACTTTATTAAGCTAAAGTAAATAATATTACTAGTTAATTTAAAGCTTTTACTATTAATAGTAGGTTACTTAATAATTTATTTATTAGTAAGGACTATAATAAAGCTAAGTTAAAAGGTAAAGTTATAGTTATTTATAAATAAGCTATTAATAAATATAAAAAGCTTAGTAGTTATAAGGTTAATTATAAAAATTATAGGCTATAGTTAAGGTTATTAACTTACTACTTAATTTAGTAGTTAAAGCTTTAATCTCTTTTACTATAGGTAATTAGTGTTAAGTAGTAACTAAATAGTTAAAGTAGGCTTTAGGTTAATAAATAGAAGTAATATATATACTATAGGTGTATTACTAGATATAATCTTACTAAGTAGTAGGTAATTTCTTATTAATAAGTTAAAGCTTTTTACTTTAGCCTTTCTAGTAAAAGGTAAGCTTACTATTAGTA